ACGACCCCGCAGCGCGGCCCGGCGCTGGGGCCGCTCCCGGCTCTCCCGGCTGGGAGGAGGGGCGCCCGGGGGGAGGGAGGGCGCCTTCCCTGCCGAGACGAGAGACGTGGGCACCTCCCGTCCCGGAGGTGACCGCCGGGGCCTCGGGGTGAGGGGTGGCGGCTTGTTTGAATGAAGCGACGCCGGGACGCCAGAGTCCACTTCTGGCTGGGCCCCTTGCGCCGGAGGCCCGCGGCCCCTCCGAGAGCACCCCCGCCCCCCGGCCTTTGATGTCCCGCGATCCGCCTCGCGCCAGGCAGATTTCTGAGGTTCACAAGGGTGGATTTAAGAGCCAGCCAGACCACGTGCCTGGCGCTCTTTTTCTTGGGCACCTGTTGATGAAACCCGTTGGTTTGCGTGGCGAGCTTCACTCCCAGAGGAGGGGATGCGGACGAAAGCGCCGTGACTAGACTCCGGAGAAACCGCAGATGGCATCTTCGTGTGCGTTACTAGGTGCTGTAGAGTCTGCTCGGACTCCTGGTGACCCTATGAATGAATGACCCTATAAATGAATGCTGCGCACAATGTCCTGTCCTCAACAGCCTGTTCGGCTCCTGCCAATGGCTTCTTTTATCGAGTCAGTCATGTCACGTTCGGTCTTCCTCTTTTTCCTGCTCATGCATCTTGGTGGAGAGGCCTGGGTAAAGCAAAGAATAGAACTTGGAGGCAAATAGACTTCCCGATGGCTCCCTCTATATGCTGGGTGTATGTGAAATTGGCCGCCAAGCCGGTATGTTTCACATCCGCGCTTCAGGAAGTCTCGAGACTGGCATCGTGCCAAGGACTTTAGAGACAAGCTCATTTAATTTTCACAATTCTACATAATGCTGTTATCCCCATATGACAGATGAGTAAACTGAGGCCCGAAGAGGCCAATGTGACACAGCTCTTTTTGACTCCCATGTGGCGATTTCTGTAATGTCATCCCATGCATGGCTTCCTGGAATCACCCATCCCCCGCCCTTTGTTTTGTGGCCGACATTCAGAGAGAAGGCGTAGTAACACCAGAGCGACTGAAGCCTGAATGCTGGAGAACAGCCCTCCTCTGCTGCTGGTGTGCAGCTGGACCATCTTCGCTTGTTCACAGCTAAACAAAGTACAGAGGAGGGTCCCTTGTCCTTTAGGTGGTGGATGACCAGGGCACTCACGGCCACAATTCTCTGTAAACGTGTTCAGTCTTTCGTTCGCCGTCGTACGCATTGATTCCTCAGTTAGGATGTATGTCTTGGAAGGACTATCTCTTCTATTTCTACTTCTCTAATAATTTTATTGTCCTATAGTTATGGGCTTGTTTTCAGTCACTTGGTTACTGAAACAATGTCTCTAGTACGGTCAGCACCGTGAGTGTGCAGTGAATCGTGGATTAAATTATTATCAGATTGTTCCAATTTGTGCTCGGTCCTGAGAAGACCAAGTTTGGTCATTTGCTAAGGTCTTTTGAGAAAAACACAGAATTTCCATTCCATTTTAGATGTCCACTTCACAGCACATTTATCAGAGCCGAGGGATTAATTTCATGGCACAAAACTATTTTTCATCGAAGAGATTAAAACGCCCTTCAGTTGGATTACAATGTTAAGCGAGATTCATACACGTTTAAGACTTCCTTGGAAGCCACTTGGAGAAAGAGACTTTCTTTTTTTCCAAAGTGAAGCTTTAAATATGATTCATGAAAGTAACGTAATGCATATTTTCCATTGAGAAATTAAGTTGGGGCTGAGATGTATGTACATTATGTTGGCGATTACAATACACTGGATTCTAGAACTGAGGATGTAACGAAAGCAGTGGGCACATCCCCCGCTCACGCGCGACCCACGTTTGTCATAACCTAGCATCCATTCATGTTTCAGTATACCTTGGGCTGAATACTTAATTTTTGAAGTCTGTTTTTCTTGAATTAAGTAAAACTATTTTTTTTTTTAAAGTTGCTGTAGCATTTGGTGGTGTTGCTGGTTCTGAGAAGAATGGGAGAGCCTTCTGTTACTAGAAAGTTGTCGTCTCAAACTTTTAAAGTACCCTAAACATGACATTATTGGCTAGGACGGCTCTGAGTTGGAAATCCGCATCTGCGTTCCAAAGGGCTGGCTTTTTGCTTGCTTTTCCTTGACAAGGTTAGGAGTGCTTTCATTTATTTTTCCCCAGAAGGCTGCAATCTGTACTTTTGTGTGGGACAGTACACCTGTGGCAGCCGGCACAGCTGGCAGCTGAATCCTGACTAGTCACTTCTGTGAAGTTCAAGGTTGGGGGCAGCTTCCTTTTTCACTGCAGCCGTGGTTACCGTGATGGGTCTTCTCAGTGAGGAACGAAAGTCCAGGGACACGTAAGCAGAGCGTTTATTCCTATGTGGACAATGGTTTCTCCCCGGCCACCAAGTGGTCCTGAGTTCTTCCCAGCTCTGTGGCAGATGCATGCTGCTGCTTTTAGGGGGAGCAGCAGGAGAGCTAGGTGGTCCCCACAAGTGTAAGCACAGCTAGTAAAGGCACATTTTACCCCATGAGGATCCTACCTTGAAAAGGCCTTTCGATGGAGAGGGGCTCACGATTGCTTGGTGTTTTTCAGGTGGTGTTCCGAGGCAGTCGGGGGCTTGAACTGGCTTGTGAGTTTGGGAAAGGCCGCTGGTCCTTGACTGGTGGGTTGCTGGGAGGAGCCCTTCTGCTCCAACATGACTGCAGAGGTGGCCACATCAGGCCGTCTAGCCGGCCAGCAGACAGATGCTGAGATGTTCTTCCCAGTTCCTGCTTCTAAAAGAGTCGGGTGGAGAATCTGTCTTTGATGCCGATCAGTGGGAACAGGAATTCCAGAGGCAGAAAAGCAAACATATTGGCACTCATTCCAAAGGTTTTTATAAAGTTATCTTGGTGAGCTGATTCAAGGGTAGCAGGCTTCTCGGGTAGAGGTGAAAAGCCACAGCGCGTAACAAGTCTGCTTGGCTCACAATCCAAAATTAGGGTACAGATGTTCTCTTATTTACACACTGGGACAGAAAGTACTTGCTGTCTCTCCTTTGTCTCTTTTAGACTTAGTGTGGACAAAACGAAGGGGAATGTGCCTGTCGCTCATGGATTTTGTCCATTTTCAGAGCTGGCACCAATGCTCCAAAGTTCAATGTTCTCCAAACAGCCCCTCAGGAGGGGGTGGGCTGCGAGTGTCCGTGTGTTTGCACGTGTTGTAAGCGAGTGCTGCCCTGCCCAGCCCCCCTTCACCAGCCTTGCTCCCTGTTGATCAGACAGCGGGGGAGGGGGCGGGGAGGAAGGAGGCTTGGGAGACTTAATTAAGTTAATTAACGAGTGTCCCTAAATTACTTAGAGCTTCTGGGGGCAAAGTTTCTGTGTAAACACTGGGCTTGGGTTTTCCCAGCTGCCGTGTTTGTGAGAGGACACAATGTAGCACTTTGTTTGAATCGGGGAGGTGGACCTGGAAACCAAGCTTCATCTAAACTGTTGCCTTGTCACTTTCTCTGGTTCTGTGGCCTGGATTTGTTTGGTCAGTGGCTTGAAGTTTGACCTGCTTAAGCGCATCCGAGAGGATCAACTGAGTGGCTGGTCTGTCACTTCTCCTGGGTGAAGACGGAAGCACAGATAGGGCCAGGTGGGGTTCCAGGTGCCTGACTTGGGAGATG